AATTCAAAGAATTTCACATTGTCACTGGAGCGGGAAGCTTGTAGTGCCACATGAAATGCTCATAATTCATTAAGGTTGACAAGGACCTTCAAATACTGCTGATACCCTGCCGGAGTTCTGAAGTACTTTTTAGACATACACTCTCATATACATATATATATATATATTTTGGGTGAAGAACATCTTTTAAATCTATTTCAAGTACTACGATGGTTGTTTATTATCACTCTCAAGTGAGGATTTTTTTAATGTGAATGTGAGAGTGTGTGTTTGTGAGTTTTTGGTGAAATAATGGCATGCGGTGACGTTGGTGGTAAGGGAATATAATAAGGAATGTCATACGCTTTGTACGGTTTCTCCCAAAAGTATGCTTCAAAAATATTTAACAACCTCAACGATACAAACGCACAGACAGAGTGTTCATGCGTTTGTCTGTGTATGTGTGTTTGTGGTAAAGGACATAACAAAAACTGCGAGAAAGAAAAAATTTCCAAAAAGTACCAAGATGTTACAGTCGTCGTTGAATACTAATGCTGGAGGTAAACCAGATACTTCCTAGGATTCAAAATAAGAGAAAAGATGAATATGAAAAAAAGTGGAATAAATAAAAACGCATGGATAAATGTATGTTAGGACAGCAGGAACTTTAGAAAAGGTGGCATGGGGTGTGACAATTTTGGTTAAACCCCTGGAATGTCCTTTGTTGACAGCAAGTGTTTGAATGCGGGGGGTAGTATAATAGTAAAAGTTATTCATTTTTTAATGTCCTTCGGAAAAATTATTAAAAACGAAAGTTACTAATATTCTTAAGTATTTTGTATAAAAGTCTTAGATTTTTAGTCAGAAAGTTTATTAGTAACATCACATTATTTGCCATAAAATTCTTAAAAAAGCCAAAATCAAAATTTGAACATGAGGGTTTTACATGATATGATATTACAATTTGAGGGCATGACTTCCTAGAGGAGAATTTCTTACAATATCACTATTTTTTCATGAATTCCGCAAAATCTTCAGAAAGATTTTTAAGTATATTCTGAATAAATAAAAAAACCACACAATTTTTGGGCGGGAAGTCTTTAAAAATATTCTTAAAATATAAAAAAAAAGTAAGATATGATACCCTAAGATGTGATACCCTACTTAAGTCCAAACACTTTTTAGTGATTTATTTGGAATGATGTCATACTGTCCTGCACAAATCATGCCTTCGGTTTTTACAGGGGATGTTTTCCTCATATTTAATTTCCTCATAATTTAAATGTCATGCCGATAGGTATCAAAACAATTTTACACAAAAGTTGTAGTCCGTTTTACCCACTAAATATTATTCAAGGGTCGTCCAAAATGCTACACTTCTGCACTGTCCTAAGACCTAACCTCACGCAAAATTCCGTGTCGCTTCGTTTTTAATCGTGATAATTATTTTTGGTCTATTTGATCCCGTATATATACATCTTGAAAAACAACAGGCTTTAATTCCGACCCAAACTCTTTACCCATACAACATTTATTGAAAATCGGACGATAATTGTGATTTGAATATAATACTCCCAAAACATAGTGATGTAAGGTGAAAAAATATTACCAAACGTAAAATTCAATATTGTATGTCAAAATCCGTCCAGCCGTTCTCGAAGGGTCTAACTAAGTATTAAAAATATTAGCGGTTTAGTGGAAATGGTTGTATTTTCTACATACAAGTTATGGTCTATTTTACCCGATAAATATTGTTCGATGACAAAACAAAATAGTAGGCTTCTGACCAGCCCTAAACTAAATTCCATAATTTTTAATTTTGGCCAATCAAACTACGCCAACACATAGTGTTGTAGGGTATAAAAATGGGAAGACCTTGCAATACTTTATCAAATATATTGGCCTATGTTTTTGCGCAGAAATAAATTGTGAAAATACTTTGTGAAAAAATCAAATTGTTCTTCCGGAAAGCCATTGTTTAAACAATTCTAAAAAAGCCAATAAGGAAAGGTGAAAAGTCGGGCGGTCCTGGCTATTTGATACCCTACACCACTATACGAATTTAGCAGAGCTCCCGGCACAAAAAAGTGTATGTTTGGAATTTATGTGAAATAGATCATAACAACTATGAGGCTTATTTAAATGCGAATCATGGCTTTAAATTAGTCATATTTTTGGAAACTGCATCCAACTCTGAACCGATTTTCAAAAAATTTGACTTAGGCCTTTGTACCTCTAGTACCAAATAACGTTGTTGTATAGTGTATGATATGACTTCGATAGTAACTATATTAAAAAATATTTATGGGAGCAATAGGAATACCGGACCGAGTTTCACCTAATGGAAAAATTCGGTTGAATATGAAGAAATTTATCCAATTTGGGCATATATTACATTTATGGTTAACAATAAAGGTAAAATCGATTGAAGATGTATATCGAAGTTATAGATGAATCTGAACCGATCTCGATAAAATTTGACAGAGGCATTTTATAGCTGTATCTGATGCTCGGTATCAAATATCATTGTGGAGCGCATATTACGCATGTCAGGGACTTTAGTACCAAATCGGATGAAACATATATGGGAGCTATAGCTATACCTGAACCAAATTTCACCAAATTTTAAATACTTCTTTCTAGGATGAATTCAGTCTGAATTGCCAAGATTCAGTTCATTTGGGCTGATATTGGTCATTTGATGCACAATAAACCACATATCGGATAAAGATATATGTGGGAGCCATATCCAAATCTGAACCGATCTTGATATAATGTGGCATAGATATTCCTGGACTGAATCTTGTACCAAATATCATTCCTGTGTTGTGCGTATTACGAATGTGAGGGACTTAATCACCAAATCGGATGAAACATAAATATGGGAGGTATATGAAATATACATCTGAAGCGATTTTCACCAAATTTGATGTACTTGCTTCTAAACAGAATTCGGTCGGATGTGCCAAAATGCAGGACATTAGAACTGATATTGGACATTTGGTGCACAATTAATCCGCAATCGGTTAAAGATATATATGGGAGCTATATCCAAATCTGAACCGATTTTGGTACAATTTAGTAGAGGTATTTCGGGACTGCATCTGATATCTGGTACCAATTTAAATTCTTGTCGAATACATATTACGAATGTGAGGTACTTAAACACCAAATCGGATGAAACATATATACATGGGAGCTATAGCTATGTGCACTTGCTTCTAGACCGAATTTGGTTGGATGTGCAAACGAAATCGGTTGAAGACATATGGGAACTGTATCTAAATCTGATCGGATTATCACCAATTTTAAAAGGGTTCATCCTTTGACCAAAAAACATGGTTTGGAAAAGTGCATCCCAAGCGACCAGCATTTTGTTCACAAGAATAAATGGACAGAAGGACATTTATAAATGTTTAAGAAAATGCATGTTTTTATTCTTTAAAATATTTTCAAAAAATCACGATAATGTCCTTAAAATATCTTAATAAAATCCACGTGTGAGATCTTAAAATAATTTTAAAACCTTCATCAATTCCACATATTTAGAAAATATTAAAAAAAAATCTCTTCAGACATATGGCTATAGCCCTATATCATTTGATATGACCAAAACGTGCCTCGTCTTTTGGAGTTGATCTAGCTTATCTGTCTGGCTGGTTCGCACGATAACTCTTGAAGGGAGAATTTGATTTCGTCCAAACTTGGTACTTCGTTATATTATTATCGGCACATTCTTTCTTGTAATTCAACGAAAAAAGAACCTAATATTTGTATCAGAATTTGGTCAGATGCCAAATGGAGTATATTGGCCCACTACATCGGTACCTCCACATAAAGGGTTAAGATTTTGAATAACCATAACGCATATCAAAATATGTTTTAAAAAAGGACATAGGCTGAGGATATGCATCTATCGGTAAAACCGACTGATACTTTTGAACTTCGTTATTCCTTCCAAAAGAATTCTACGAATAAAAAATTCTGGGAAAGAATTCCACAAATGGTCAATACTGGACAAATATAGAAATTAAAATGCACAAAAATTTGACCAAATTTACCACTTTCTCCATTCTTGATTTAATAAAAAAGGTGGTGTTTTCAAAATTATAGGCATATTCGATGTTTGGGATTGTGCAAAATGTTTTTCATTTGTGAGAGAGGCACTTCAATTAATTGGTCTAAAAATATTGGGATTGGGGTCTTCTTCTGAATTTCGACTTTTATTGTTTCTCAGCTATTTTGATAATTTTTGAGAAAGCTACCCGAAAGAGGGGAATGTATACATCATTTCCACATTTGACATAATATTGACAAATTAATCATTTCGCCCCTTAATGGGGTAGGTACTAATGTTTCCATATTTAACACTTGCAAATACTGTGATGAAAGACATTTTAAAATAATCACATTCTCCGAGTATAAATGTTTTTGAAAACGTTGACCCTTTGTGGAGCAGATACGTGAAGGAGTTACTTAGTAGTGTTCTCTTTTTCACCTAACTTTAAGTCTGATATAAATAATATTGTGTGGTAAGATTAGGCTACAACTGCTCTTAGGGAAGTCCGAAATATCAAATCGGATGGGATTACTCTCATGTTTGAACCGATTACTATTTTGGATAAATATAAGCCTTATAAATACTGACTCTAACCAGGCATCCTGATGTAAAAAGTGAAAGTGAATAACAAGAATCTCCTCCATCCCCCAACACCATAAAATGGCAAACATAAAATTTGGTTAGCCCATCCAGAGAACCAGCCGAGCTACTCAAACAGTCAGCATTGGAGTAACCGCAATTGAGAATTTTTGTTTTACAACTTGTCCTCTGGTGAAAAATGCAAACGTAAACCAACAACAACAACGGCAACACTAATAAACACAAAATTCTCTCAAATCCACAATTTTACAGAAATTTGTAATTTCCTCTCACTTCCTTTGCACACACAGACACACACACACAAAAGCAACACCACACCACAAAACAACAAAAAATGATTTGGTTTCTTTTATTTTTACAGGTTCCACCGCATCACATCAAAACCTACCAAATTGAAAAATATGAACAGACCAATTTGGAATCGGTTATGAGTGCCATTCATTTTATGGTAACCACACAGCATTTTATCAAAGGACAAATGAGGGTAAGTGCAAGAAGTAGTGTTGGCAGTTGAAGGAAACCAGCAAAATGGGGGAGGCGACATAATGCAAATATTACTTTTGTTTTTGTGGTCTAAGCGAATTAAATTAAATGTTTTTTTTTTTTTTCACTTTTTCCAGCTCAAATGTACGGCGAGTATTTTCGATATATTCCGTGAAGAAATCGAAAGTGTCATTGAAGAGGACCGCCCCAGAATCATGGCTTCCGGTCGTTCATATGATGCCCACAGCTATCCTCATGACGACAACAGTGTGGGCTATGAGGATCACAATGAGTCGTATTTGACATATTTTTCGGGTAAGTTGGAGGAAAATAAGGGATAAAAGTGACAACAACAATACTAAAGCATAATGGATTAGGAATTACATTGATCTGCAAAGCTTTTTTAGGATTTTAACTTAATATGAAGAATAAAGAATAATTTGGTATTTTGGGTTGGTGAGAATATCAGCATTTCCAAACATCAACTCATTTAACGATAATTAAAGTTATCCAGGGTGTGGAATGTAAGAACTTAACTCCACGACTGAGAGAGTCTGATAATAATATATCGATAAGAATAAATAGCGATAAACGTATGACTAATTGGGGGACATATTATTCGATACGACTATAATCTCGTTGCTTAAATTATATAAAATATACAATCAATGAACCACTTGTTCAAAAACTCTTTCGAAATTAGAATGTGTGTGAAGATGGAAAATGTGAAATGAGGTCGCTAGCTTTTGGAGCCTCTCCTTGAATGAGTTTAAATTTTGAGTAATTTTGAAACCTTGCTCATCCAGATATGTCTGTCAATGTTACGAATGTTATAAATTTCCTACAACTGTAAAAAAACAAGTAAGCAAAGGATAGACGTGCGGGCCGACCATGTGATACCCTACAACACTACAATATAGTAGAAGCCAAAACCCAATTTGGAAGATTTCGCATTTGAAATTATGTCATAGAGCACTGCCCAGATATCACCCTTAGCTTTTTGACCAGGGACATTTGCCCAATATTTACGCAATCTGTCTTGCTGTTAGTTGTTGTGGTCCATTTTACAGCTACATATAATACAAAATGATAGACTTCTTCCCTGTTCTTAACACTCTCCTCATGCAAAATGCCGTGTCGATTGGTTTCAATTGTATGATCATGAAAATGTTACTATTTTTGGTTCATTTGAACCCCTAAATATGCGATATTTGGCTATATTCGTCAACGAAATCAGCATTAAAATGGCATAAGTTCGCCTTTTATGCATTTTGGATTTTACCTGTAAATTATTTTCAGCGTTTCGGAAGAATGGAAATGTTTTTATTCTTTTCACACAAAGGTAGTGGTTCCTATTAACCGCTGTCCTAAAATTTTATTTCATGCGAGATTTCCTGTTCTTTGGTTTCTACTTTACAATGGCTGCAAAATCAGGAACATTTATAGTTGTTGGTCCATTTCAACCCCTAAATATATTGCGGACATCTTTAAAAACAATAGTCCGAGACCTTCTGAACCTAACCCTAGCCTTATGAAAATTCTCGTGAGGATTACCCGATCATTATAATGTGCATATAATAACCACAACCCGTGTTGTAAGGTAAAAAAATATTACAAAATATACACTTCAATATAATAAGTCAATGGCAAAAGTCGCATGCGATAAAAAATATGAAAAATCCTCAGAATCAGAAAATCAGAATAGTATCTGAATTGACAAATTTTTTCAAAATGGCCATCCTTGATATATAAGCATTTTAGCTAACATCCCTTCCTTTGTATATATTTCACTGTATAAATCCGATACATTTGCTATCGACATCTATATAACTGTCACAACTGACATTTTCGTCCATTTGTGATCTTGCGAGGGATTAAAAATATTCTCGGTCTAATAAAAAATTTGACTTTTATTTAACACAAATGTTATGGTCTATTTCACCCACTAGATATTGCCCTATGACCATTGGAAAGCTTCTGCCCAGCCCTAAGCTGTAGCCCCTAGTATTTAATTGCGACATGTAGTGCAACTGCAAAATCAAAAAATATTTCTACTTTTGGTCCATTTCAATCCCTAAATATTATGCGCTCATTTCCAAAAGCAATGGGCTTATATTCTGACCATAACCATGCAAAATCTCGTGAAGATCTGGCCATAATTACGACCTGCAGAGTGATTACAAATTAACATGGACAGACGGACATACTTAGCTAAATCAGCTCAGCTCGGCGAGATAGGAACATCCATGTATAGCTTCCTATATTGGAAGCCATTATTTCATTATTTACGCATGTCGTTGAGATGAAATTTTCCATAAAATATTTTTTGGCCCAAGGACGAACCCTTTTGAAATTTGTTAGAATCGGTTTAAATTTAGACATAGCTCCCACATATATCTTCAATCGATTTCTTTTTAATTGTGCCCAAATGGCCAATATCAGTCCAAATGACCTGATTTTTGGCACATCCGACCAAATACAAACTAGAAGTAAGCCCATCAAATTTTGGCTATAGCTCCCATATGTATCTTTAATTTGATTGGTAATTTTAAGTCCCTCACATGCGTACTGCACAAGAATGATATTTGGCTCTAGATATCAGATACCGCTCAGAAATACCTTTGTCAATTTTATCGAGATCGGTTCAGATTTGGATGTAGCTCCCATAGATATTTTTATCCGATTTCAGGTTTTTTGATATTAGCCATTTGATGCACTATCAGTCAACATGACCTGAATTTGGCGAATTTCGATAGAATTCAGTCTAGAAGCAAGTACTTTAAATTTTGGTGAACATCGGTTCGTATATAGATATAGTTCCCATATTTATGTTTCATCCGATTTGAGGTCTTAAATCCCTCGCATGCGTAATATTCACTCCACAAGAATGATATTTGGTACCAAATAATTTTTGGAGTTCAAAAATACCTCTATACAATTTTATCGAGATCCGATCAGATTAGGATATGACTCCTAAATATATCATGATCCGATTACACGTTTATTATGCACAAAATTGTCGAAATCAGGCCAAATGGAAATAGGTACAAAATACCGCAGAGCAACATTCGGGCAGCGTGTGACGATTTCATTGGCCGCTTGAAGATCATAATTCGTGCCAAAGGTGACCAATTCGAATAAATCTAAACTTATTCTAAAATTGTATGCTATTTCCGAAATTTTTTGCGTTCGTTCATTAAAATTTAAAAAAATGTGAGAATCATGGCGTTTGTCTTTGTTGCAGTTTTTTATCTCACCCTGTATATGTTTCATTCTATTTGGGGTTTTTAGTGCCTCACACGCGTACTATGCACTCCTCGACAATGATATTTGAAGCCGGGCATCAGATATTGCTTAAAAATACCTCTGTCAAAATTTTATCGAGATCGGTTCAGATTATTAATAGCTTCGATAGACATCTTCATCCAATTTTAAGGTTATTGTCCACCTCATATGTAATATCAGCCCAAATTTAATAGATTTTTTCATATTCAACCGAATTTTACCATTTGGTGAAAATCGAAGTCATATCATGAACTATAAAGCAATATTATTTGGTTCAAAGTTGGTATGGTTTACTTCATTTAAACTTTTAAGTTACGCGAGCTCTACTAAATACGCACAGTGGTGTAGGGCATCATATAATCGCCGCAGTTTGACTTTTCCTTACTGGTTTTTTTCATGTAATGTGAATCTTAAACTTTAGTTTACTTTTACTAAAAATGTTGGTCGCTAACTTACCGAACATTTTCGCATAAACCGAAATTACAAACACTCTAATTTAACCATTTTTTTGTCGGTGTTTTCAAAAATGAGTTAGACAATAGCACATTTTTTGGTCTCGAAAATTTCGTGTGATTTATAATATTGTCATAACAAATTGCTCTAACTACCCAAAGCCAAGTCATTCTCCCACAGCTACCATAGAAATTTATATAAAATAATTTTCCTAATAACATTCCAATTAACGTTATAACAAACAATTCTTTTTCTCTCTCGTCTTTTTTCTACAGCTCCAAAGTCATCAGCATCGCCCCGGGCCAAGGCACCCTTTGCCATAATCTTCGAATACTTTCACAAGCTGTTGCCGGCATTATCGCTGAGGAAAATAAAAAATCATATATGCAACACATTAGCGACATTTATCATCGATATTGAAAGGTATTATGGGAAAATCACTCAAAATGTCATGACAACATATTGGCTGAAAATGGAGCAGGAGCTAATCAAACTAATAACAGTAATGGCCGTATTATTAAAGATATATCAACAACAACAAGAACAGAACAACAATGGTGGCAACGGAAAAACTTGCCACTGGTGGCGACAGATGCTGGGAAATGGCAGCAATGTTCTGGGAAAGATATTTTGTAGTTTCAAGAAGCAGCAAGAACAGCAACTGATGAAATCAACGACAATCATGAATGAATATGAGGACATGCATCAAGAGCAGAGGGAGCCACTGTTGGTGCAACAAACGAAATCTAACAAGGCACACTCTTATCTTTGCACACAGCAAGTCGGCGAGGGGGAAGGAGAAGCTACGGCCATTGATGTTCTTCTTGCTGCTCTACGTATTGATTGTCAGTTGGAAAATGAACAGTGTTTAGCAGCAAATCAAAATGTCATCAATGAAAAGGTCTTTTGGCATACGGCAACAGCAACAGGAGCAGGAGCATTGGAATCATTTTCCAATGTCGATTACCAGCAACATTGGCGGCAGCGGCAGCGACAGCAACAGCAGCAGATGTCACAAACACTTGACAATGTCCCATCAACAAATGCAACAACGTCTTTGGCATTCCCTTTGCAGGGCTTACCATTCGCCACAATTGCCATTGTTGTTGGAACTGGTGCTGGTGTAACGTTTGGTCGTGATAGTTTTCCATTATGTGAGGATGTCGACGATGCTGCTGGTGGTGGTGATGCCGATGATGATGCTTTCGTTGCAACTAAAAGCAATAACGCCAACTATATGTCAAGGGATCAAACATTATTGATGATGACTTCCAGTAAGAAGAGTGCCACGACCTATCTTAATAGCAGAAAATTACAAAGGGTAGCGGCAAAATTGGCAATGCAATGGTTAGAAGAAATTGAAGAAGAACCCTCACGACCATCACCCCCCGCAGCAGCAGTGACGACCGGGGCATTAGAAAGAAACCTGAAAAGTATGGCTCACAAAGGAAATGCAAAAGCAGCCCCATCATCAACGTCGTCGGTGTCTTTCTTGACATTTGCATTGCCCTCCCTCTACTTGAAGAAGGCATTTTCATTCTCCGCCCTTCCCCAGTTTCATAATTCTTATTTGATGACGTTTATTGGTAAATTTCTCTTACATCAATGCTGATGTTAAACGGATGATAAATGATATGTTTCTTTTTCACATTTATTTTCCCCATTCATTTCCCATTACCAAAACAAAACTCATGGAGAAATGTAAAAAAAAATGCAACACAACACGAAAAAAAATCTATAATTTCTATAAGCCAAAAAATATATATTAAAAAAGAAGAGAGAAATAAGAACTTCTATTCAAAATGCAGTTTATTTTTCATTCATACACATACACACACATGGGAGCGACTTATAACCAATTCCCCCAAGAAACCCTATTTAAGAAAAGGAAATAAGAATAAATCTTAACATGAAATGAAATAACAAAAAAAAAATATAAAAAATTAATTATATGCGCGCTTTTTTATGAAAGAATAAAAAAACCAATACAAACAACAAAAATAACACATTCACATAAAGTTGTATGTCTAGTAATTAAGTGTTATAAATGTTATTATTTTTCTTGTAAGAAAAGGAGGAAAAAAAAAATAAAAAACACAAATAGAGAAACAAACACAATTTATGTTATTTGTTAAAATAAATATATTTAAGAAATATGAAAAATATTATATAAATAATATTGATAGAAAAAATAAGCTTTTAGGAATATAAAAGGAAAATGTTTGGGAATGATATAGTTTTGATTATAATATGAAAGTTTCGAGTGAATTTTTTAAAATTATATTTAATATTGTGACAGGAAATTTAACAAGTAAAAAAAAATTAAGTTCTGCAAAGTTTTCATTTAGCCTTGAAAATTTTATGTGGCGGACCCTGTATCTTTTAGAAGAAGCTTGTGATGCAAAACTAAAACAAAAAACATGAAATCATATAGATAAGATCTTATCAGAGAATATGGCGATTATTGTTAACTTCAAATACGAAAATTCAAACAACGCTATTAAAAAATTTTGCTAAAATTATACAAATACAAAGTTTCGAGGGGGTTATGCGAAACGTGTACCAGCATAGATACCACTATGCAGGTCCATGTTATATAACAAAAAGTGGACCGATATCACCCATTTTCTGTACCAATGATTCTGGATGTAATCCAAAGACCTCTTTCACATTTTAAAGTTTTATCCCAAATTTCGAATTTAAAAGGTGTTTTTTTTTAAGTCCGATAGAACTTGAAATTGAAAAAAATAACACAAAAAAATTAAATTTTAATCAATTTTTATTTTATTCAAGAGATCAATACGTGACATTAACATTTGAAAATGATTTCGGTCATATGGGCACCGCGGCTGTTCTTGACGAAGTGCATTCTGGACGTCCAATTTTTGGCCACTTTTTCGAGCACTGCTGGTCGTATGTCACGAATAACACGAACAATGCTGGCCTCCAAGGCGTCAATTGTTGCTGGTTTATCAGCATAAATCATTGACTTCACGTAGCCCCACAGGAAATAATCGTAGCATCACTCGAAATCAACTTATCGCCAAATTTTGATTTCAATAAGTCGGTGGTTACGTTCGCAGTATGACACGTAACGCCATCCTGTTGAAACCACATCTCCTCCGGATCAATGTCATCCATATTTTTAAACAAAAAATCATTGATCATAGTGCGGTAACGATCTCCATTGACCGTAACGCGAGCGCCGGCCTCAGCGTGAAAACCGCACCATTTTTCTGGAAGTCATGGAGTCTGTAGGGTCTCTTGTGGATTTTTCTCACTCCATATGCGGCAATTTTGTTTATTAACAAAACCCGTTAAGCCAAAAATGCGCTTCATCGCTGAACACAATTTTGCGATAAAACAACGGGTCATTTGCCAACTGCTCTAGAGACTGATTTTCAATGTAAATTTCGGATAATTTCGTAGCGTTGTTCAAGCGTGAGCCTATTCATAATGATTTTAATTTTTGTGTTATTTTTTACAATTTAAAGCTCTATCTAGCATAAAACACACCCTTTAATATACCAAAGAATATATACCAGGAAGAAGCTAAGTTCGGCCAGGTGGAACTTTTTATATCCTCCACCATTTGGAAGAATCTAGAAAATTGTCAAAAAAAAACTATCACAAAATACCGCCCAAACCGTAATATGAGGGCTATACGAAGACGTGATCCTGCATAAGTAATTTGTGTCATAAGCGGTTGTAACGGTTTCGAACATTATATACAAAATTTGAAACAATTCGCAAAAATCATGAAAATATCAAATATCTGGGGGTACCGTTTTATACTAAAATGTGGACCTATTTAAACAGTCCTCCTCAAGGGAGTAATACACTCACAAGGGACTCCTTCTTTGGTTTTTAAGACAATTCCATTGAAAAATTTAGGGGAAATCATGAAAACATCGAATATTGGGGGTACATTATTATGGGGGCTATACGGTATCGTGGACCTACAAAGACAATTCTCGTCTAGAGGATGAAGTACTGACAAAGAACTCCTTTTGTGGATTTTCAGACTATTCCATTGGAAAATGTGGCTAAAATTATCAAATACCGGGGGTAACGTTATATGGGGGCTCTAGGATATCGTGGACCTATATAAAATAACTCCAAAAATAACTCCTCTTGTGGATTTTCAGACTATTTCATATGAAAATGTGGCTAAAATCATAAAAATACCGGATATCGGGACGTACCGTTATATGGGGGCTATACGATATCGTAGAACGATATAGCCCGTCTTCGAATCTGCCCTGCCTGCAGACAAAAGACAGACATTTGTTTCGAATGTATTGTGATTACAACAGACGGACAGGATTAAATCGTCTGGGTCTAAAATTATTATTTCGATGAGTTACAAATGGAATTTTTTCTTATTTCGCACTTAAAAGTCCTAATATTTATTTGGCCCAAGGACGAACCCTATTGAAATTGGTGATCGGATCGGATCAAAATTCGATATAGCTTCCACATATCTTCACCGTTTTCGGGTTAATTGTGCACCAAATGGTCCATATAAGTCCAAATGACCTGAATTTTAGCACATCCAACCGAATTCTATCTAGAAGCATTAATTTTAGTGAAAATCGGTTCAGATATAGCTTTAGCTCCCATATATATGTTTCATACGATTTGGTGTTTAAGTCACTCACTTGCGTAATGGTACCAGATATCAGACACAGCCCAGAAATACCTCTGCCAAATTTTATCAAGATCGGTTCAGATATACATATATCTTCAACAGATTTCGTATTAATTGTGCACCAAATGGCCAATAAAAGTCCAAATGAACTGAATTTTAGCACATCCAGTCGAACTCAGTATAGAAGCATACACATTAAGTTTTGTGAAAATCGGTTCAGATATAACTATAGCTCCCATATATATGTTTCGTCCAATTTGGTGTTTAAATCCCTTAAATTCGTAATATCAATTCAACAACGATGATATTTGGTACCAGGTATCTTATATAGCTCGGAAATATTTTTGCCAAATTTTACCGAGATCGGCCAATATTTAGATATAGCTCCTAAATATCCCTAATCTGATTACAGCTTTATTGTGCAAATAATGGCTAATATCAGCCCGAATGAATTTCGAGACATAAGTTTCCATTTTGTGGAACTCCGATATTTATTTTTTTTAGTATAATCCTCTCACGCACTCCACAGCAATATTTTGTATTAAAGATTAAAATGTATCCGTCAAATTTAGTGAAAATCTATTCAGAATTGAATATAGGTATCTCCCATAAATTAATTCCCTCTGAAAACAAACTATAACTGTTCCAAAGCCAAATGTTGATTGGTGGTATAATCTACTTCATATAAATTCTTTTGTCACTGGAGCTCTACTGAATGTGCATAGCGGTGTAGGGTATCATATAGTCGGCGCCGTCCGACTTTTGACTTTTTCTTACTGGCTTTTGCATGAAGATCAATTAAATGTACAAACTCGAGAAAAACGTCTTGGCTTACAACACAAAAAAGTATTTTTTTCAAGACAAGCACCGGCGCACAAGAGTGTTTTAAAATTGCTAGAAAAGCGTTGGACTAAGGGTATTGAAGTTTCAGGAGATTATATTGAAAAATAAAAATATTTTTGAAAAACTAACTATACTCTTTCATTGATAGGATAAGAAATTTAAGAAAATATCACTTTATAGTATCATACTCGTATTTAATGATTATTTGGAAGTTTGAAGGCTTTAGTCGGATATGCTAAGATGGATGTAATTTGCAGCATTATATTCCTTTGAATAGAATAGCTCCTGATTCCCGAAATATTGGAGGTTATGATTTCTTGTGAAAGGAAACAAAAAGTTCTTCACATAATTTCAGTTAACGGCACTGATGGATTTTATTCATTTTAGGGTCCAAGACACATTTTTCGATCGAAATTTTTATATTTGGGAATTCAATAAAGTTTAATAAATATTCCTCTGAAAAGGCTTGTCTTTTATTAGTTATGGTAATTAATAATTATTTATTTATTAATAATAATTTTTAATTAGTACTTTCCAAATAATTTAAATTTATCTTATTCGACGACCTCACTCTAAGTGTACGACACAAGCTATATTTATATGTATTTAAAACCCAAATATTTTCCTAAAACACATAAAAATAACAATAAAACAATATATTATAATGTAAATATGTATATAAGTAAATAAAGAACTAATATAGTAAATATTTAAAGAAAAATAAAAAAAATATCTCAAAAGAGAACTAATCGAAAAAAACATGTATAGTTTTTGGGGAAAATAATTACCGTTATTGAACTAGTAAAAGAAAACAAACAAACGAACAAAATATGCGTTTGTAATGAAAAAAATCTAAACAAATCTAATTAAATCAACTTGCAAAACTTTTAGGCCAATAAAATTTAATTTTCAAAAAGCATAACAAAGGAAGCATATAATAAAATTATTTAATTTATTAAAATTATAAAATTGGTTTATTTGAAAAGAAAATGAAATCCATAAGAAACAACGGTAACTAGTTCCTTAAATTAAGAGATATATATAAAGCAAAAAAGTAACATTTATTGTTTAAGAAATTATTTTAAATTTGGTGAAAGGTAGAATGATAAATTGCGTGTAAACATAAGTCAGAAATTTCTAAGTTTTCGAAAAATTCGAAAATGTAAATTTACATAAAAAATTCAATGGAACAGATGGTAATAGATACTTCCATTTTTTAAATTCATTCCAAAATTATTATATGAAAATTATACATAAACATTAAATTATTATTAAATAAATGTAAATAGTCAGCATATTATAATGTAAAATAAAATTAAAATTAAATTTTTAAATGTGGTGTACAGCTATTCTAAGACAATGTCTGATTTTTTGACCAATTCTTAAATTTTTGTATGGGCATATGCATAATTTTGTAGTGCGCAGAACTAATGGTGATCTGAATTCAATTATAAACCAGATATACTATAGCAAAAAGTTTAAAAGGAATAATGTTTAGCATTCCTGTTAGAACCACAGAGGGCGAAAAAATTGCATTGTCTCGTGGGTCCGGTCAATAGCTGAGCTAACCCTTTGGCAAGAATGAAATGGTAATATTTGAAATGTCTATT